TTAGAGCCCAGAGTGAAAACATGAAACAGAGCGTTAGAGCCCAGAGTGAAAACATGTGGTGATGTGACATGACGATGTTAATATGTGGTACATGATGTTAACATGTAGTACATGTTGAAGGACACAGTACTTTTCCCTGAATGCGATCGATCTGGTCGTTCTGCAGTTTGATCTCGCTGCCCATGTCCAGAGCCATGCTCTTCAGATTTCCCACAATGCTGCTGACATGTGCCAGGTTCTCCTCCATCTCGTCCTCACGGGCGTCATCAGTCACCCTGTGACGGAGCATCAGCATCAGAGCCGAGTCAAAGAAATATGTGTGAACTTATAAAACAGCTCAAGAAAATATTCAGATTGATCAAAACAATCCAGTAGATGGAAGTGAATATAGATTACTGATGACGATATAAAGATGAGAGGATGAAGTGGTTTGCTTGAGCAGCTGCTCACATCACTGACGATGGATTAAATGTCAGTGTGTGGTGAAGAAGAGCAAACACACACTCACCACGCAGCGACCCACAGTCACACCTTCACTAAAGCCTCCCACCTCCCTATGAATCCTCCGCTCATGATCATTTTCTCCCTCTCATCGACCACTCGTGACGACGGCGGCTGATTGGACACGACGCCGTCCTGACCCGAGGCTCCGCCCCAGACTGCCTTGTACGCGCCGCTCTCCTCGAAGGCCTTGAGTCTGACGGAGAGAAAAACTTAATAAGCATCTTTTCTGATTGAGTCTGTTTGAAGTGATGGATCCACTCTGGTGCCATCATGTATTTACAGGAATTGTGGTTGTTCCTCTGTTCTGCCCCCAGCACACGTGTCATTACATACATGCAACATGTCAGTATGGGTACAGCAGTGGTCCAAACATGACGTCAAACATGTAAGATTAAAGCAAGCAGGCAACAAAGGAAAGACAGAAAAGCCAACTAACAGACCAAATCTAAAAACTATCTCAATGTGCGTTAACCACCTGTCACCAGCAGGGGTTCCAAACTCCACAGGCCCCAACCCCTAAAATAAAGATGAGTCTCATCACGACCCCTCATTATCCCCACGGGTGACTGAAGCATATCAAGGGTATCATTAAGTTTTTATCTGTCGCAGTGTTTCCTGTTGATCAACCGGCTGCAGCTGATGCTGACACTTCTCATAATCACCTCAGGATCATCAGGTAACACACACACACACACACACACAC